CCTAAATTGAGGTCCCCATGGGTACAGAAGCTTATAAATCATACAGATTTAGTTTTTTTTGAGATTGTAAAAATGCAGAAAGTTTCCTGTGAGGGGTAGGGTTAGGTGTAGGGCGATAGAAAATACAGTATAAAAACAGTTTGTACAGTATAAAAACCATTACGCCTATGGAATGTCTCCACAAGCATAGTGAACCAGACAGAGTTTGTGTGTGTGTGTGTGTGTGTGTGTGTGTGTGTGTGTGTGTGTGTGTGTGTGTGTGTGTGTGTGTTTGTTTGTTTGTTTGTGTTTGTGTGTGAGTGTTTGTGTTTGTTTGTGTCTGTGTGTGTGTGTGAGAGAGTGTGTTGTGTGTGTGTATGTGTATATGTGTGTGTGTTTGTTTGTGTGAGAGTGAGAGTGTGTTGTGTGTGTGTTTGTGTGTATATGTGTGTGTGTATATATGTGTGTGGTGTTCAGACTTTGATTAATGTCAGAAGTAATAAACACAAAGCTCATTATAATTTTTGCATGACAGGTGCACTAAAAATTTTTGTTCATGCATCAATAAAACAGCACAAACTAAAAGATCGATCTTGGGATTAAATATCAATATCATCAAAATGAAGAGTGATTATTATCAAAACCATGTGATCTCGTCTTGCAGCGGTGGATGAACAGAACGCTCAAACGGAGGAGGGTTTGCCTTCACTACCGGCGGAGGAAGAAGAGGATGATGGTTCAGAAACGTTGTCTCTGCAGTCGTCATACAGCAGCAGAGCGCGAGCCAGCAGACGAGGTGAGGCGACTCGTTACAACGACTCATTAGTGACATACAGCGGCGCTCGTTTGCTCATTCTGTCTCTCCATCTCAGCGTCTAAGACTCCATGTGAGAAGCTCATCAGTAAAGGAAGCCTGTCCATAGGCAGCTCCGCCTCACTTCCTGCTCAGACAGGAAGCAGAGAGAACATGCCCATGCTGAACACTAAGATCCTCTACCCAAGTAAGAGTCTGTGTGGAAGCGTCAGAGGTTTTGCTGTCGTTCAGAGGCTCATGTTGTGTGTTTGTGCGTGCAGGTCTCAGAGCTGGTGTGTCGGGCTCTTTTAGCGGCTCGGTGATCACCAGGCTGCTGGTCAATGCTGATCCGTTCAGCTGTGATCCGGAGAACCTGTGAGTCGTCGCTTCTGTCTGTTTGTCTGTCGACCGGTCGAATTTAGAGCAAAGGCTGATGGGAAGGTGCTTCTCTGTGTGTTTCAGGGATCTGTACACAGAGAAATGTGTGATGAATAATTATTTCGGGATCGGTCTGGATGCCAAGATCTCTCTGGACTTCAACAATAAACGTGACGAGCATCCAGAGAAATGCAGGTACATAAACACATCAAATATTGTGAAATATTATTACAATTTAAAATAACTGTTTTCTATGTGAATAAATAGTAAACTAATTTATTTCTGTGATCAAAGCTACATTTTCAGCATCATTACTCCAGTCTTCAGTGTCACATGATCCTTCAGAAATCATTCTAATATGCTGATTTGCTGCTCAAGAAACATTTCTGATAGTGTGTGTGTGTGTGTGTTTGTATGTTTGTTTAGGAGTCGCACTAAAAACATGATGTGGTATGGAGTCCTGGGAACCAAAGAACTTCTGCACAGAACATACAAGAACTTGGAACAGAGAGTTCTGCTGGAGGTCAGTGTGAGTGAGTGAGTGAGTGAGTGAGTGAGTGAGTGAGTGTACATGTTTGTAAGGTTAATCATACCTAACATGAGTGTGTGTTTGTAGTGTGACGGGAGGCCGATCCCTCTTCCCAGTCTCCAGGGAATCGCCGTGCTGAATATTCCCAGTTACGCAGGAGGAACCAACTTCTGGGGCGGAACTAAAGAGGATGATGTACGTTTGTGCAGTGTATGTGTGTCTGTGAAATATGGAAGTGTGTGTGTTTGTAATGAAATGTGTGCTTGTTTACAGACATTTATGGCGCCGTCGTTTGACGATAAGATCCTGGAGGTGGTGGCTGTGTTCGGCAGCATGCAGATGGCTGTTTCTAGAGTTATTAATCTACAGCATCACCGTATCGCACAGGTACACACACACACTTACATTGACCAAGGCTGCATTTATTTGATCAGAAATTCAGTAAAATTGTGAAATATTATTACAATTTAAAATAATTGTTTCCTATGTGAATATCTGTTCAAATGTAATTTATTCCTGTGATCAAAGCTCAATTTGGTAACACTTTATTTCGATAGTCCACTTTAGACATTCTATTAACAGTAAGTAACTTTGCAACTACATGTCAACTAGCAGTTAGTAGAGTATTAGTAGGCTGTTTGCTTAATATCTTCTAACACTTTCTTTGTCAACTTATTCTACTAACCCTAAACCTACCCTAACAGTCTACTCTGAGAGTTAGTAGACATGTAGTTGCAAATTAATGAGAATTAGTTGACATGTAGTTACAAAGTTACTTAGAATGTCTAAAGTGGACTATCGAAATAAAGTGTAACCCTCAATTTTACTCCAGTCTTCAGTGTCACATGATCTTCAGAAATCATTCCTTTAATTGCCTACATAGCCTAATTAGTGCTTAAGCGCACTCATAAAGCTTACCACAGCACACCGGCAGAAGTAATGATGATGAATGTGTCAGGAAGAAACAGGAAGATTAAACTGCATTAACATTTTAATAATCTATTGATAAAAAAGTGTTTTCGGCTTAAGAGATGAAGTCGGCGACACTGACTCGTCATCTACACAGTAGTGATGCGCCTGCATGGAAGTTTCATACGGATTACATAATCTGAGAATATTTTTTTTTTTTTTTCAGATTTGAATTGTTTAATTTGAAAGTAGACATTTCACTCTCTATAGATATAATTTTCATTTCTGTAAGGCAAGTATACACGGAGTTTCGCGCTCAGGTAAACAGAGGCCGAGACGGCAGAAAGCGCATCCTGTTTGCTTTCATTATTTTACAAAAGCGCAATGTTTTGTTCTTGAGTGAGTGCACACAAATAAACGTAGAGGCTTTACAAATTCGAAAGATGTATTACTCTTATCTGTATGACCAAAATGACGGAGTATTTTAAGAGCAAGTGAGCACGCCGGCGCCTCCATCTGTCATGCAGTGAGCGCTACTGTTCAGCTTTCACACTCCACCAGGGGCTGGATTGGTAATCGGGCATACCAGGCATTTTCCCGGTGTGCCGACGCACTTAAGAGGCGGACAGAATGTTTTTTTTGCCGAAAACCATCACGCAGGGACAGCGAGCAGCCAGTGGCCCATTGGAGTGCAATGTTGTTATAGTGAGTGCACACAAATAAACATAGAGGCTTTACAGATTCGAAAGATGTATTACTCTTATCTGTATGACCAAAAATGACCGCACCGGCGCCTCCATCTGTCATGCTGTGAGCGTGCTACTGTTCAGACACTTGAACAGCGCACATATTTCTATGTTAACATTAGATTGAGCGGCCATGTAAAGTTGCTACTACTTACATATTTCAGATGATAAGCCATAGTTGAGGTCAATGAATGATAGGCGAGTGTTTGGATGTAATGTTACTGTATTACCACAAAATCCAGCCGTTAACGATCTGTCCATCAAGGACTGCGTGACCTCACCATTTCCTGTGGATTTTTTTTTTCTGCGACTAAGCGACTAATAAAATTTTGGCCGTTACCACAAAATCCAGCCGTTAACGATCTGTTCGTCACAGACTGCGTGACCTCACCACTTCCTGTGGATTTTTTTTTTCTGCGGCTAAGCGACTAATAAAATTTTGGTCGACCAAGCCTCTTCTCGTCGATTAAAGGTTAGTCAACTATTAGGGGGCAGCCCTAAATATTTCACAGTATTACTGGTTTTACTGTATTTTTTACAGCAACCTTGGTGAGCAGAAGAGACTTTAAAAAAATCTTACTTGTAGTGTATCTAAATGAGCATATTCCATAGACTTTGATTGTTAGAACTAGTTATAAATACTGTAACCCTAACAGAAAGGTGTGTGTGTGTGTGTGTGTGTGTGTATGTGTGTATGTGTGGTGTGTGTGGTG